GAGAAAGCAGGTGTCTGTGCATTCAGACACATTCTGAGGTCTGCATGATGCAATTAAACCACTAGTCAAGCAAATCATTATTTATGTTTGTTAAAATTTGTGGAAGTCTTCAGAAATTGTGGCTCCATCTCCACCATAGAACTAAAATTCATCAGAATCTAGTTTACTATAGTGCAGCAAGAGTAATCAGTTTAGTTGCCAGGTGCCATCTGCTCTCTGTGTACCTGGCCACTGTGAACTGGAACGCTTATATTTCTTGAATTAATTAGCAGCCCTTAGGGAAAAACTTCTAGCATCAACCAGACTGTACTGGGGTGTGTCTTCCTCTTGAGCTCTGATATTTGCTCTCTATATCTGGGTGCTCCTGTGTTAGGTACATATATATTTAGAATTGCTATATCCTCTTGACCTTTCTATCATTATATAATGATCTTTTTGTCTCTTTCTAGAGTTTCCATCTTGAAATCTATTTTGTCTGATAGAAATATGGCTACTGGCCCTCTTTTACTTTCCATTTGCATGGAACATCTTTTTCTGACTATTCGTGTCTTTACAGGTGGAATGAGTGTCTTTCAGACAACATACATGTCGTTGGCTCTTGCTTCCTGAACCCATTCACTCATTCTGTCTCTTGATGGGAGAGTTTCGTCACGCTCTGATGTTATACTGACAGGTAAGGAATTACCACGGCTGTGTTGTTAGCTGAGTTCTGCTTGTTTGCAGTACTTCATTCTTCCTTCCTTCCCTCCATCCCTCTCAGATGATAAGTCGTATCTTTAAAAAAAATTCCTATTTTATTTCTATTTCTTGTCTTTTCTGTGGTTTGTTTTTTTTTTTTTTTTTGATAGAGTCTCACTGTTTCCCCACACTAGAGTGCCGTGGCCTCAGCTTAGCGCACAGCAACCTCAGACTTCTGGGCTCTAGTGATCGCCCTGTCTCAGCCTCCTCAGTGTGTACTCCAGGCATGCACCGTCTTACCTGGCTAGTTTTTCTATTTTTAGTACAGATGGGTCTTATTCTTGCTCAGGTTGGTCTCAAACTCCTAAGCTCAAGCAATCCACCCACTTGGGCCTCCCAGAGCGCTAGGATTACAGGTGTGAGCCGCTGCTCCTGGCCATTTGTATCTTCCCCCTCAATCCTCCAGTTCCTCTCCACGGTAGGCTGCACACTCTAACCCCGTAACAACCTCACACTTGCAGTGTACTTCTGTGCTTCTTGACTTTGGATTTGGTCATGGGACTTGTTTTAGCCAATGGAATGTTAGTGGACAGGAAATATGCCGAGGCTTAAATCGTGTTGTGAAGTTGGACTTGCTTTTTTGCATTACTGTTATTTCTTTGTCTTAAGAACGTTCTTTAGGCAGCGGCAAGTGCAAGGAAGATGAGAGACACCTGGAACAGACGTGGGCACCCTCTGCAGCTCAGAGCCACCTCAGCAGAACCGAGCCCCAGTCAGCCAAATGTGAGTCACTCTCCCTGTGCAGGAACAATAAGACCTGCCTAGAGGTCTATGCTATTAAGACTCTGTGTCATGTGGGGACCTGGTGCCATTCTACAAAATCTTGATGGAAACCTTGTTTATGGTTTTGTCTCCTTGACTACTTTGTGAACTTGATGAAAGTCATAACCATGCCAGGCAGTGCCTGTGGCTCAAAGCAGTGGGGTGCCAGCTCTGTATGCCGGAGGTGGTGGGTTCAAGCCCAGCCCCAGTCAAAAACTGCAAAGAAAAAAGTAAAGTCATAACTGTGCCTTGCTCAATTCCATATTTCCTCAGTCGAGCTCTGGGATATCCTCAAAACCGTTTGGTGGATACACAATGATGAATGAACGGCATTAAAGGGTGTTGGAGTTGAACAAAGGGAGCATTTTTATAATGGCAACCTCAGCAAATAATTTAGAAACAGCACTACAATATTGCTGTGGCTCTGAGAACAGTTATACATGTTAGGCTAAAAGTAGGAATTGATGCTGCTTTTCACTAGTTAGAAGCAGAGCCACTGAGTCCTGGACAAAACAAAGCCCTTCAATCTGACTCTGAGTTAACCCCAAGGCCAAGTCAGAGGTTCCTTTTGCATCTGTTTTTTTTGTTGCAGAGGGAGACGTCTTGTATCCGTGACAAACCCAACATGGCTCCTGTGTTCCCTTCCACCTGCGACTGCAGGAATTTCCTCCATGTGAGCTGCTTCGTGGTTTTCATCTTCACTTTTGCTCTTAATGATTCATAAGCAACATTTGTTTCTTAGAATGGCCACGATGTGTTGTGACCTTTATAAATAACCATGACTATAACACCACACATTAATAGTTTCTCAGGCCAGTGCGGGCTACCTGAACTACTACTGAAATACATGGGCGACTTGGGAATTATAAGAACTTCAAGTTTGAAAAGTCTGCCTAATACACACTTTTCTGGTGGCAGTGTCACCTGAAGTCTGAGAATAAATTTTCCGGCACGTGTTTGTATAAACTGTGTTTACTTAACTTTCCCTGATATCTTGTGGGATTCTAAGCTGATATGAAAACAGCTGAGAGAACTAGATAAAGATGATTAAAGCAAAGAATTTAATCAATAACCACTTTTATCTCAGCAACATGCATTATCTTTCACTATTAAAAATTATTTGCATATGGCTCGGTGCCTGTGGTTCAAGTAGCTGAGGCGCCAGACACGTACACCTAAGGTGGTGGGTTTGAATCCAGCTCAGGCTTGCCAAACAATGATGGCTGCAACCGAAAAAAAATAGCCAGGCGTTGTGGCGGGCGCCTGTGGTCCCAGCAACTTGGGAGGCGGAGGCAGGAGACTCGCTTGAGCCC